CCTGACCGGTGCACACTCCCCCCTCATCCCGCAGGTAGAGGAGAGTGTCCTCACCATCGGTAAGTTCCACAACGTGGTAAAGCTCGTGGCCTTCACCCCCTTCAAGTCGGCACAGAGCGCCTTGGAGAACATCAATGCCGTCTCCGAGGGTGAGTGGGGTCGGAGGTACCACGGTTGTCCCCCTCTGCAGGGAACCGCACGGCCCCGCTGAGCCTCTCCCCTCGTTTCCCCCACAGGGATCCTCCACGAGGACCTGCGGCTCCTGCTGGAGACCTCCATGCCGGCCAAGAAGAAGAAGGCGCTGCTGGGAGTCGCCGATGCCAAGATTGGGGCGGCTATCCTGGAGGAACTGGGCTACCAGTGCCAGACCGGGGGGGTGGTGGCCGAGATCCTGCGGGGTGAGTCTGGCTACGGGGAGGGGACACCCCAGCGTGGTCCCTGCTCCTGCTGGGATCGGGATTGGGGGGGAATACACTGCCACTGGGGGCCGTTCCTGGTGGTGGCGAGGGTGGTGACGGTTATGTCCCTGCACAGGGATCCGCCTGCACTTCCACGCGCTGGTGAAGGGCCTCACCGCTCAGTCAGCCTCCAAGGCCCAGCTGGGCCTTGGCCACAGCTACTCCCGGGCCAAGGTGAAGTTCAACGTCAACCGCGTGGACAACATGATCATCCAGTCTATCAGCCTCTTGGACCAGCTGGACAAAGACATCAACACCTTCTCCATGCGCGTGCGGTGAGTGGGGTCCCCGGAGCAGGGGTGGGTGGCACGGGTCCATCTCCCCATGCTTACCGCAGGCAGCTGCTCCTCCGGCTGCCTGTACAGAACGGGGAGGGAGAGCAGCACCTCCAGCGCGCCCTGGCCCGGGTGGTGGTGCCGTGGCTGGAGCGTGTCCAGGGGGACACGCGGGCTGAGGGACTAGGGGCATGGTGGGGCTGGGCTGTGGTGCTGACACTGTCCCCGCAGGGAGTGGTACGGGTACCACTTTCCCGAGCTGATCAAGATTGTCTCTGAGAACTACACCTACTGCCGGCTGGCCAAGTTCATCGGGAACCGTAAGGAGCTGAGTGAGGAGAGCCTGGAGGGGCTGGAAGAGATTGTCATGGCCAGCGCCAAGGCACAGGCCATCCTGGAAGCCTCCCGC